TTCAGGATTGTTGATTCTCTGTTTGGCTTAGTTTTTCGGATCTTTGTTGTGGAGGGACGGCGTGGTGCTTCTGCCTAGACCGCCATCTTGCCGGAGCCCCCCACTGTCAGTCTGAATGTATATTTTTGCTTTGACAAATTTCAAATTTACAAGACATTCTTTCTTCCTATATAAAAGTTGATTTCTGCAAAAAATGCATTTTTCTGCAGAAGATAAATGCTTAAAATATTTATGATAACTTAGAAAGGATCATTATTTATACCTAAGCGTGCAAAAAAAATGGTAATATGAATAAGAGCAGTTAGATAGCAAAACTGAAAAGATGTTGTTTTCATGTTGTTCAATATGTCAGTATACATTATAATTATTTTTTAGGAGAAGAATTTTCCATGTTGAAGTCATTTTTCTCTGCCATCTTGGAGAAAAAACAAGAATTTACATTTAATCTTGCCAATGCCCTCTACCTTCAAGAAGGATTCACTGTGAAAGAACAGTATCTCCATGGCAACAAGGAATTTTTTCAGAGTGCTATAAAACTGGTGGATTTTCAGGACGCAAAGGCTTGTGCAGAGACAATAAGTACTTGGGTAGAAAGCAAAACAGATGGTAAAATTTCCCATTTCCATAAAATCATTATTTGCCATTGTATGCATGGTTTTTAATATCTTAAAGTAAATAATGGTTGAATATTTTCCTACTAAACTCTGGATCAGAGTAATCAAGTCTCCTATTTCACTGTTATTCAAATTAATTCTAAATCATAAAACTGAGAGAAATTTTAAGCTGCTTTGAAAAGTATACAGATTTCTTTTTCTTTTCTTTTTTTTGGAGTGACATCTATTTTTAAAATTCCTAATGGAAGAATTTTAAACAATAATTTTTCTTCAAGCATAGGTTTTTGCAAGTATGGCAGCAGGATTAATGCCTTTGACCAGGTAAAAGTTAGATCTGTCAATCCCAGATGCCGTCTTTCCCACATATTCTGTAAATGACTAACACATCTTTATTGAATGTGTTAATGTTTGATAATAAATGTTGATAGTCTTATCATAAACATGGTAATCTAAATTTAACCTAAGCACTAACTGACAAAAATTCCAAAGGGACTACAGAGTGACATAGTAGAAAGAGTACAAGCTTAAAACCACACAGACCTAAGTTCAAATACTACCAAGTTATAAATTATGTCCCATTTAAAATGAGGATACTATTAAAACGTTTCAGGACTATTGTAAGGTTTAATAGTAATGTATGTGAAATGACAAGCATATAGCAGGCCCTCAGCTAACAGTAGTTTGATTCTTTGTTCATTCAGCTACAGCAAATGTGATCATGTAAGAAGCTACTGTATTCTCTAAGGGAAGTCTTACGTGGGGAATCATAGCTAGGAAATATGAGATGAGTGTGGTGAGCAGTGTTCACAGGAAAATTCTATTAGCAGGACACATTGAAGACAGCTTGATGGCACCTAGACATACTCATCTCTAATAACTTAGAAATACTTCTTGAACATTGAGATAGGAGACTAGTGGTTTGGAGGAGGGAAATCATACCAGCATTCTTGTCCATTTCAATGGTCAGAGGCTATAGCCACAAGAGTGCCAAGTTTGGGTCTACTGTTGACTTGTTCGTTGGATTGACTTGTTGAAGAAAACTTGAAAATATCTGAATAATACTAATAAGAAAGAAGAGATACTTTGTTTTTGTTCTTCCTGAAAGATGATTGACACAAATATTTTCAAGACAGTCCACTACTAAGGTGACCATATGTCCAACTTTGCCTAAGACGGTCTCTTTTTGCACCTGATTCCTAGTGAAATAGTTAATAGAGCTCCAATTAACTCTCAAAATTGCCGAGTTTAGATGATAAATTATGTAATCACTCTGTCTGTTACTTATGTGCAAAAGGAATTTTTGCTTTAATTTGATTTAAATCAGTTCTACTGAACCACTCTTGCTTATTTCTTTCTGCTTCTGCTCCATACACTTCACAGGAAAAATTAAAGACATGTTTTCAGGCGAAGAGTTTGGCCCTCTGACTCGACTTGTCCTGGTGAATGCTGTTTATTTCAAGGGAGATTGGAAACAAAAATTCAGAAAAGAGGACACACAGCTGATGAACTTCACTAAGAAAGATGGTTCTACAGTCAATATTCCAATGATGAAGGCTCGTCTGAGAACAAAATATGGTACTGTGGAAACCAGACTCTAAAAGCATGGCTTTGGGAATTGCCAATTATATGTAATGTTTTATTTTCTGTGTTCCAGGTTATTTTTCTGAATCTTCTATGAACTACCAGGGTTTGGAATTGCCTTATAAAGGTAACGAATTTAGTTTAATCATCATACTTCCTGCAGAAAATGTGAACATAGAGGAAGTAGGAAAACAAATTACTGCTCATCAAATCCTGAAATGGCTCTCTGAAATACAAGAAGAGGAAGTAGAAATAATCCTCCCTAGGTTAGTAATGTCATTTTGTTATTCTGGTTCTTACGTTTCCACTTATGGAGGAATTTGAATAGCCAGCTGAAAGATAACAAATGCTTGAGAAGGCTATTGACAGAAATGAAAAGAAAAATGCATTTGGAGGTATTACTCAATTTACTGGATACAAAGGCAGGTGTGACCTGTGCCAGCATTGCTTCACCAAGAGAAGGACTGAATTTAAGTGCTAATTTTCTCTGAAAGGGATGGAGAACTTGAAAATTTTGAAAACTAGGCTGCTGGGATTAAAAAGAATCATTAACTGCACTATAGAACCTTATCTCTCTTTTTCTGATTCGAATTTAAAATATTTATCTTTTATTATGTCTAAAAGGAGCTCTGGTGGTGCAGTAGTTAAGCACTCAGCTGCTAACTAAAATGTTGGTGGTTTGAACCCACCAGCCACTCCATGGGAGAAAGATGTGGCAGTCTGCTTCTGTAAACATTCCGTCCTTAGAAACCCCATGGGGCAGTTCTACTCTGTTCTATAAGGTTGCTATGAGTTGGAATACACAGGATAGTAAGGGGTTTGGTTTTTGGTATTATGTCTAAGGAAAACAAAAGCGCAAAACACTTCTGATAGTGTTATATGATACAGTTAAAAAGATATGCCAAATCACCTTTGGCAGATGGTGCTCTAACAGTCACTGAATTATAAATCAAGTCCTATGATCAATTTTACTGAGTTAAAACAAAATGGAAATTGCAAAAGCAGATCTCAGGAAACAATAATTATAAACACGATTGTCTTAATATCATACTTCTAGGAGAAAATTCAGAGAGTATTATGTGCCCAAATAACTCAATTCACACTCCACCTGAACTTTTAAAAAGAGACAGATGTCTAATATGTTTTATTCTGAACTTTCATTTCTAAATTTCTCTTCAAACTCATCAAGGCCTACAGGTGTTGTGTTTCCCCGTTCCTGGACTTTAGTGTCTTACACCTTTTGGCTTTCACCTCCTTTTCTACATAGCCAGGATCTAGTCATTAGTCATTCAATCATACTCTCACCAACACTTTTAATGTTTTTGTCTCCTTGTCTTGGATCTGTTTCTAATTCTCTTCCCAACCATCTCAATCCTGGGTCCACTCAAAAAGGCCTCTCCTGCTCAACTACTGATTTTGATGGAGCAAAACCTCAGAAAGCAGTCACTTTTGGCTCCATTAAAGCTGCACATTGGAACTCATTGTTTATCTCTAGAGAATTTTCTCTTCTAATACCACACCACATCAAACCTCTATTCTCCATCCTCTGTTGTTGTTGTTAGATGCCATCAAGTATATTTGAACTTTCAGCAACCACACACAGCAGAACGAAACACTGTCCAGTCCTGCGCCACCCTCGCAATCGTTGTTGTGCTTGAGCCCATTGTTGCAGCCACTGTATCAATCCATCTCATTCAGGGTCTTCCTCTTTTTCTCTGACCCTCTGCTTTACCAAGCATGATGTCCTTCTCCAGGGATTGGTCCCTCCTAATAACATGTCCAAAGTACATGAGAAGAAGACTCACCATACTCGCTTCTAAAGAACATTCTGGCTGTACTTCTTCCAAGACATATTTGTTCATTCTTCTAGCAGTCCATGGTATGTTCAATATTCTTTACTAACACCATAATTCAAAGACATCAATTCTTTTCTGGTCTTGCTTATTCATTGTCCAGCTTTCACATGCATATGAGGTGATTGAAAATACTATGGCTGGGGTCAGACACACCTGAGTCCTTAAAGTGACATCTTTGCTTTTTAACACTTTGAAGTGGTCTTTTACAGTAAATTTGCCCAATAAAATATGTAGTTTGATTTCTTGACTGCAGCTTCCAAGGGTGGTGATTGTGGATCCAGGTAAAATGAAATCCTTGACAACTCCGTTTATCACGATGTTGCTTATTGGTCCAGTTGTGAGGATTTTTGTTTTATGTTAAGGTGCAATTTATACTGAAGGCTGTCGTCTTTGATCTTCATCAGTAAGTGCTTCAAGTCCTCTTCCTTTTCAGTAAGGAAGGTTGTGTCATCTGCATATCGAGGTTGATAACGAGTCTTCCTCCAATCTTGATGCCACATTCTTCAGCAACCCTACAGTATGTGCTAAATGAATATTGTTGAATTAAATTATGTAAATATATTTAAGAAAGTGATTTTCTATTCTTTCCCTTTATCTAATTTTAAATAGCTCAAAAATCAGAATTGAGCTTTCCAGTCACTCTTGAAATCATTTCCGATAAGGATCCTGATGAAGCCATCCTTTTTTCCCATACATGCACCATAATGAAAGATAGGACCTTAGCTATTTGCTTGGAAATTTCTCTCTAGAGACAGAAAGGTAAGACTTGCTTTGGATTTACAGGACTGAAGATTTTGTTATCAAGTCTTCAATCACATGAATACAACGTTACATTTAAAATATATTCACTTTTTACTGAAAGGTGAGTCTTCTGATTTCTTAAAGGAACAATTTGCTTATTTTTTTATGCTTATTAACAATTTCAGCCCATCATGACACATTTATTGAATTAAGTTTCCTGAGCACCAAAATGACAAACTGAAAGTTTTGAAATACATTTTCCCTGAAATAAAAAAGTTCCTCACACCAAAATGCAAACCAAACCCGTTGGAGTCGATTTGATTCCAACTCATAGCGACCCTGTAGGAGAGAGTAGAACTGCCCCATAGGGTTTCCAAGGAACTGCTGGTGGATTTCAACTGCTGACCTTTTGATTAGCAGCCTGAGCTCTTAACCACTGCACCACCAGGGCTCCCACCAAAGTAAGACTGATTTAAAATCTGTGTGCAGTACAGAAGAGAGAGAAATATATGGGCTCAATAAATACTTTTTGGTGGACTGACAGTTTTATATTTTATTACTCAGTGCTGTGGTTCTTTTATATCTGAATCAATGCATAATGGTTATCAAACTGATAAATGAAGATTTTGGTAAAATTGGAAGTCTAATGAGCTATACTAAATGCTTTTTATTGTAAAACGAATCAAAAACCTCTTTGGTAGCAAAGTTTAGTACATTTGGAAGTTAGAAAAATTAATAAGAATGTCTGCATACAAGTTACAGTAGGAAGAAGCATGTGAGTGACTATTTAGATGGCTATTTAGACTGTAGTTATCATTTAAAAAACACTTCTCCTTCCCCGCTTTGATGTGTGCCTAGTTTAGAATCAAGACCAATACGACATAGTATAGTCTAAAAATAGGTGTTTTCTAGTGTTCATTACCTGTAAGATACTAGATATCAGAAGAGGCTCTGAAACTTGCTCTTGAATGTAGAGTAGCTAAAGCAAACAGAAGAAATGATGAAGTAAAGAGATGAAGAGATGATTTCAAAGGGCAGCTCGAGAAGATAAAGTGTTATAATGAAATGTGTAAAGACCTGAAGTTAGAAAACTAAAAGGGAAGAACATGGTCAGCATTTCTCAAGCTGAAAGAAATAAAGAAAAAATTTAAGCTTTGGGTTGCAATATTGAAGGATTCCAGGGGCGAGAATATTGAACAATGCAGGAGGCATTAAAAGAAGATGGAATACACAGAGTTACTTTACCAAAAAGAATCGGTCAATGTTCAACCATTTCAGGAGGTACCATATGATCAAGAAATGATGGTACTGAACTGAAGGAAGAAGTGCAAGCTGCACTGAAGGCATTGGTAAAAAACAAGGCTCCAGGAATTGACGGAATACCAACTGAGATGTTTCAACAAATGGATGCAGCACTCACTCATCTGTGTAAAAAAATTTGGAGACAGTTACCTCGCCAACCAACTGGAAGAGATCCATATTTGTGCCCATGCCAAAGAAAGGAATGGATCCAACAGAATGTGGGAATTATTGAACACTATCATTAATATCACACACAAGTAAAATTTTGCTGAAAATCATTCAAAAGCAGTTGCAGCAGTCCATTGACAGGGAACTGCCTAAATTCAAGTCGATTCAGAAGAGGACATGGAATGAGGGATATCATTGCTGATGTCAAATGGATGTTGGCTGAAAGCAGAGAATACCAGAAAGGTGTGTACCTGTGTTTTATTAACTATGCAAAGACATTTGACTGTGTGGATCATGACAAACTATGGATAACGTTGTGAAGAATGGGAATTCCAGAACACTTAATTGTGCTCATGAGGAAACTGTACATAGATCAAGAGGCAGTCATTCCAACAGAACAAAGGAATACTGCGAGGTTTAAAGTCAGAAAAGGTGTGCCTCAAGGTTGTATCATTTCACTATACTTGTTAAATCTGTATGCCGAGCAACTAATCCAAGAAGCTGGACTATAAGAAGAAGAACGTGACATCAGGATTGGAGGAAGACTCATTAACAACCTGTGATATGCAGATGACGCAACCTTGCTTGTAGAAAGCAAAGAGGACTTGAAGCACTTACTGATGAAGAACAAAGACTATAGCTTTCAGTATAGATTGCACCCCAACATAAAAGAAAACAAAAATCCTCACAAATGGATCAATAAGCAACATCACGATAAACGGAGAAAAGATTGAAGTTGTCAAGAATTTCCTTTTACTTGGATTCACAATCAATTCCCATGGAAGGCAGCAGTCAGGAAATTAAATGATGTCTTGCATTGGGCAAATCTGCTGCAAAAAAACTGTTTAAAATGTTAAAAAGTAAAGATGTCACTTTGAAGACAAAGGTGCACCGGACCCAAGCCATAGTATTTTAATCACCTCATATGCTTGGGAAAACTGGACAATGAATAAGGAAGACTGGAGAAGAATTGATGCCTTTGAATTGTGGTGTTGATGAAGAATGTTGACTAGACCATGGACTGCCAGGAGAACGAACAAATCTGTCTTGAAAGAACACAGCCAGAGTGCTCCCTAGAAGTGAGTATGGTGAGACTTCTCACTTACTGTGGACATATTATTAGGAGGGACCAGTCCCTGGAGAAGGACATGCTTGGTTAAGTAGGAGGTCATTGAAAGACAGGAAGACCTTCAATGAGATGATTGACACAGTGACTGCAACAATGAGCTCAAGCATAACAAAGATTGTGAGGATGGTGCAGGACCAATCAGGCATGAGGGAGAACACATGTGCCTGGGTTCATGGAGGTAGTGGGTTGTGTGAGTCCCACAGGAAGGCAGAGTTTGCAAAGAGCAAGGGGCTATGTACGTTCTGCAAAAGGGAGTATAGTTCAGAACAGAGTAAAAGGTCAGTGATGGAATGAATAGCAAGAATACAGATTTGGAGCAGCAGCACCAAGAAGATGTTCAAAAGAAATAACACCTACCCTAGATGGGAAATGTCATATTCTTGCTGGGATAAATACTATCCCAGGACTTGGCCAGCCTTGGATCTCCAAGTGGGTGAATGTGAACTCTGTACGGGAGAGAGAAAGTGAGCCCAGGGAAAATGAGGCTGGACACGAGAATAGACATGTCATGACCAGCTGCAGTAATGATTACAAAATGTTCATTTACTTTAAGTTCTTGAACACTGATACAAGCTGGAATCTCAAATTTGCATTGAACAGTGCCCAGATATGTTTTGTATGTGACGAAAAGTGTTTTAAATTTAGCACTTAGTGCCTGTGAAGATAATAGAGCATTTCTTACACACACACATGCATACACATACACACACACTCACACACATACCATGAGATAATTACTTGGAAAGTTACCAAAAGTGACTATCTACACACTTAACAATCCAGGTTCACCATGGTCAAGGATTGTGTTATATTTTATCCTTGTAAGCAACCCTAAGATTTCCAAGGATATCTCAAAGCCTACTGCACCAAAACTGGAATTTCAAATATTAAGGACAGGAACTTAGAGGGAAATCCATCCAAGACTTGTTTTAATTAAACAGGAGCCCTTATTACAGGAGAAGGGAGGGACAACAGCAATCCATAGTGCGGTCTTGAGACCAGGAGTGGGTCCATCTTAAAACAGAAATTCTGAATTGTTTTCTTTCATTTTCTGCAGCTTTTACCTCTGTGAGATTGTTTATACATGGTAGTTATATTTAGGAGTAAACTGCTGTCTTTTAAGCAAATAGGTAGTTTGCATATGCTAAGACATTCATTTGTGATTATTTTGTTGCTAGTGTCTTACCAGCCTTTTCGCTGGTTCGACATTGGCTGACTTTTCTTTTGACAATTTTAAAGGATGTTAAGGAAAAAGGGAAATGTACCTCAATTGTGACAAATACTAAGACTCACAAAATTTGGAAGAGGTACATAATTCAGTCTGCATATTGATTGAGATCATATTTTTGAATTACATTTTGAATAGAAGGAGGTGGGGGTTAACACATGAGCTTTAGCTTCAAATGAATCTGAATTTAAATCTCAGGTCTGGTACCTCCCTTGACCATGAGTATGGACATCAAACTTCTGGAGCCTTCCCTTTCTTATATATAAATGAGAATAATAATGCCAACTTCCCAGGGTCTTTTGTGAAGATTAAAAACTGTAATCTATATTAAATGCCTAACATACGCAAGTGCTAATTCATGCCTGGCTATTTGTTGTTCCAATAATTATTGATAATTGGAAACTGGTTGTAGATTATACTTTTATTATATGCTTGAATGTGTTTTTATTGTTGTAGGTTTCATTGGAATATATTTTGAGTTAAATGACTCTGGTGATAATTAGGTATTATCACAAGTTGTAATAAATCTTGCAGTATTCTTGTCATTATCCTAAAATTATTGGTCTATTATACTAAAAATAGCCAATTTATAGGTGGATTAGAACATTTGTCCTCACCTTTAGAGGCCTATACTCCACTCAGCTTAAAAAAAAATAGTAATATGACAATAAAACAGAAAAACAAACAAACAAAAACCTGAAAAACATTTTGCTGCATGTTATCCTTCTTAGCAAGAAGTTACAAGGAAGAAAGTTGAAAACAGTTGGCATGAATAAGCTATTTTCATTATCAGTAGATTTTCATGTGCATTTTGCACCATTTGCATTTGGAGGGGACTCAGAATGAGTTAACATCTTCCAAAGCTACATAATAGCTTACCAAAAAATAATTTAGGGCTGGTAAAATTCTGCCACAGCATATTCATTGTTTTGAAGAATTATAATTAAGGAGCTTGTTCAATATTTGACAATTAAAACCGTGATCTAATTAGACTGATTGCCCAAGCTAATTTCTAGTCCCAGGTGTAGGCCCACCTATTAGATTAGCAAAGCTCCTGTGCTTGAGCACAAGTGTATGTATCCAAATCTGGCTGCACAGGAGCAAACGCCTCTCAGGGCATACACAGAGCTGTCTCGGCAAGAATTGCCCAGGAATTTTGCTGATGTGGGAAATATACATGACTTCCTGCTGAAGAACATTTCTTTCATAAACAAAGTTTCCAACTCGGATTTAAAATGAAAATTGATGTTTTAAGCATGTATAAAATCAATTAAGTAGTATCAGCTTCTTTTTTTTCTTTTTATTTAAATGAGAAAGTGAGGTTCAGTGGTAGCTGTTAATTTGGAATCATAGAAGATCAGTGCTTGAGGGAATCTTTGAGAGTATCTGGTTAAATTCCCTCTTCACAGGTGAGGCAAATTGAGGCCACACAGGTTAGCTGAATGCTGGAGTCCTGATTTATGGACTGAAAGCACTGGCCAGAGCCTTCCCCCAGCACCCCCACCATTTCTTTTACTCCTTTATGAGGACTATTGGGAAGCTATTGGGTGTGTCCATAAACTGAAGGAAGCCACATCAACTGTAGCAATCCAAGCAGGGTGGATGAGACAGACGGATGATAGATTATTAATGCCTCTTTCTAGCCCAGTAGCCAACAATCTTTTCCAAGGACTGTTGGCTCCTGCTCCTCTCTCATAGTGTCTTGGACATCTGCCAGGAGACATGTTTGATGGTGCGAAGAACTTGAATATAGAGTTGCTGGAGGGAACATCTAAATTTCTTAGGAACCAAGCAATTGAAAACTTTCACTCTGTTCTGTTTGGTAAATGTTACTTCAAAAAATAGGGTGTTCTCTCCTCCCCCTTCGCACCAGCCATTTATCTGGGAAACAAGTTATTAACAACCCAGAAGAAATAATTGGCCCTGGAAGAAAATGGTGTGAAATATGAGAAAATGTAACGGTGATAATGAAATAAAAGATTTCTCAATCTAATCTCATCCAAATCATCTTACAAAAAGTATTTTGGTAGCAAACATGTATGGTGTTTAATACTTCCCTCCTTCATTTTTTTTTTCAAACAGATTTAAAATAGAACAAAAATTAGACTTCAAGGAAGCTTTGTATTCTTTGAACATAACTGAGATATTTAGCAGTGGCTGTGACCTTTCTGGAATAACAGGTAGTATTAAATAATTCGTATATTATCATGTTAATATGTTTTCTTAGTTGACTATATTAACTGTCTGATCTTAAAGCTGAAAGCATTCAGGCACAGACAACACACACGATGAATAAAGCTTGTGATGAAACCATGTATGTAGGTAAAAGTATTACATAGGCTTTTGTTTTGTTCCTGTTTGGATGTCTTTATCTGAATAAAGGAAATTACAACTTTGAGGCTCTCATCTAAGCAAAGCTAATAAAATTCTTACAGCCCAATTTGCAAATGTTAATTCAGTAATATTGAAGCCCTTGAAACAGACATCTACAAGATGCTGGATGATGTAGACATTGTAATGCTACAGATTGCAGATTTAGCAACACAGTCCTTTGGACTGACAATAGTTCTGAGAAGATGGAGCTCATCTGCTAACTTGCACCTGGGAAATCGCACACGGTTAAAGGTTCTCACTTGCACAACAAAGCCGAAGACAGTCTTTTAATTCTTCTTGCCTTGGAAGTACACTAATTCAAAAATAACTGAAGAGACAAATTGTAATAAAGAGGGCCAATTTGTCCCAAGTTACTTAACTTCTTTTATATTCAGTTTTCTTTTTATACAAAGAGCTTATCTGTCTGATGGGATTTTGTATCATAACATGGAAGTATTGTGGAAATGTTGTGGTTATTCCTATATAAATATCTGGGAGTTAGGAGAGGTATTCATTAATTTATTCACTCATCAATTATGTTAGCAAGTGAATAGAATAAGTTAGCATTCCTGGAGGAGGAGGAGGTAGAAGGGGTACACAGGTGTCATGGGTGTTCATAATCACCTTCACACATGATTTTGATACTTATTCTCACACAGAGAGCTATGACTTCTTTGACAATTCCTTCATCATTAGGTATGGGACTATCAACATTAAATACCAGTACATGACACTATCTGTGTGCTGGAATGCAGTCCCTCACCAACCTGAAATAAACCAAACTGTTTTTTAAACACTTCCTTCTCTTAAACTTCTTTCTGGCCTTAGGAAGCTTGCTAGATACACCTCAGACACTTTGAACAGCCACTCACTCTGCAAATTCCGGGCAATTTGTGACACCTATAAACTCTCCAAAATGCTTCATAAAAGAACTTGTGCAAGATATAACACTGGGCAGAGAAGACTAAATACCTGGCATTTTCTGCTCTTTCCCTCTTGAATTCCTGATTTGAGTTATTTTAACTTTGATTTTTTCTTATTGCCTGAGTTCTTATTGCCACAGCCAAGGCTTACACCATATCTGGTCATTAGAGCATACTTGTCATTTGTGCAGCAAACATTTATTAATGGTTACTGTGGACCAGTCAGCACTATTTCTCTGGGATGTCTACACGAAAGAGACACTACCTCATGGTTCTGTAATTCACAAACTTTGAATAAACTGTTGATAGTAACTTTGGAGACTTTGAGATGAACATTGGGATTCTAACAGTTAGTACTTCTTGTTTCACCTTTAGTAAAATACTTAAACATTCCAGGCCTCAACTTTCTCATCTGTTAAGTGGAATAATATATCCTATTGTGAGGATGGTGCAGAACCAGGCAATATTTTCTGTTATACATGGTGTCCTATGAGTCACAGACGACTGGATAGCACCTAACAACAACATATCTTAGTTTCTTTGGGGGAAATACGTACGTGTATGTAAATCACCTACCTTGGTAGCTGGCACATAGTAAATGTTCAGTTCTCCTCTCTATCTTACTTGAAGGGGATTTATTTTTCAGTAGGTGGTCAGAGCTGGTTCCTCTTTCCTAAGGTATTTCTTCAGGGGTAGTTCTACAAGAAGGACTGCCTGAATCACATCAGTTTGCTCTCTCAAGTGCTCCTTTCTCTTCAAGATTCAAGACCCATCTTCCTCTCCTCCACCCTCCTGCCACCACTGAACTCTGAGGAACATTGTCAGATCTATCTGGTCTTGTCACAGCAGGGATGGCAGACAGGTTCTGAACTCATGGTTTCACTAACCCCTTCTGAAGGCGACTATCTTTGCAGGTCGCTATATCAGAAACACTTTGCAAATGCATCAATTCCACCGAGGGGAGAAGAGGGACATTCTCTCCTAGCTCGTATCCACAGCAGAACAAAAGGTTGTAAAACACTATGTTACACTGAAAAATTTAACAGGTTCTAAAGCATAGCTTTGAAGTGATTTTGTAACAGATGACACAAAACTTCTTTAGACTTAACATAGCCTCACCGTCTTGAAAGAAAGTAAATTTTGTTTTAAACTAAGATCAAAACCGAATACCGAATTTAAAAGGCAAGTTGGCTTTGTGGTTGAACACACAGGGTGGGATTAATTAAAATCTAAAGAGCCGTTTTCATCCTGTTGGTAGACCCAGGCTCAGGGTGGCAAACCCTCCGTTCATTTAAGTGTTTCACTTAGTGGGATTCCTGATTTGAGGCTTATACCCTTCTATCTTTACCTTTTATATCAGACCTAAGCCTCTGTCATCTCTGTAATAGCTAAGCTAGACCACCTTTACCTCTAACAAATTGACTAACTTGGAAAGAGTGAGTTTTTTCCCTTCTTCTTTTTCTTTTTTTGGTTGTTTGAAAATGTAATTAATCCATGGCTTACTAGGTAATGGCTCTTGATTTTTACCACTAAATACACTTTCATATTCTTCACCAGATTCATCTGAGGTGCATGTTTCCCAAGTCATGCAGAAAGTTTTCTTCGAGATAAATGAAGATGGCAGTGAAGCTGCAACATCAACTGGTAGGATAAATAATATCCCAACCAGCTAGGAGACAAGATTAGAGGAAAATAAGCATTAGGGTGCTAGTTGTTTTCCAGTATTCTGATCTTTTCCCTTCTCCTGTTTCATACACTGCAGGATGAAAAATGAAAACTGTTGCATAACTGGTTTATACATCTCTGTAGCCACAGCATTATGCAAAAGAAAGGGAAGGAATTCGATTAAGTGTTGAGACCTATCTACTGATATTTGCTCATTTGCAAATAGGATTACCTGTCAATTAGTAGATGAGACCTAAACCAATGTGGAAAAAACTTCAGGGCTCAAATATTAAATCATTATTGTTTAGGAATCTTCACTCTTAAGTAATTGCATTATTTTCGTTCTTCCATTAAGCCAAGTTAATCCTCATTTTTCTAATTTGATTCATGTTGTTATCTCTGTGGCAGTGGTTCTCAAACTTAACTGCACATTAAAATGACATGGGGAACTTCTAAAAATCCTGTGCCCCAGCCATATCCCAGAATAATTAAATCAGTATCTCTGGGGTTGTGGTTCTAGTATTTTCTTAAGATCCCCCAAGTGATTCCAATATACATTCAAGGTTGAGAACCACTGCTCTACAGTTGGTAGCAACTTTCTCAACTACTCTTGAAGTGCATAAACAGGAGCATCAGCATCACTTAACAACTTGTTAGAAATGCAGAATCTCAGGCCCAACTCCAGACCTACTGAATCGGAATCTGCCTTTTTTAAGATCCCCAGTGATTTGTATGCACATGACAGTTTGAGAACCACTCTTCTATGCTACATTTCCTTGACTGGATGACATTTTTAATAGAATCTATGCTGCACAAAAGTATTTAATACTCAAAAATTCATTGGAGAGAAGTCTTAAAATCAACTAAAAGTAGAAAAGCAACTTTAATTAATCTTTCATAAATTTATCTTAATTTCTAATACTATTTGAATTTTAACCAATATTTAAAGGAAATGTATCATTTAAAATGTCTTATTGGTAAATGTCCATAAATTTATATCCACATTATCAATTTCTTGATTAATTTGTAATACTATATCATGCCAATGGGCTTTGACTTCTGTATGGACACACTGTACTCCCATTACCATTCCATCATCTCCTGAAAGACTTTGCATTACTGTGCCCAAGGAAATTTGATTGGAGGGAATGGGTTATTTCAATCCTTGGAGAAATCAAAAGGTTGCATTTGGATGAGTTTGCTGGCCTACGCAGACCAGCTCTTCTTACACAGAACTGGAAAAGTCATTATAGATCAGTCTGATCCTTTCGATTTGTTTGTGAAGAAACAGGACCAGCAATTTGGAGAGGTTTGAGCAACGTGGAGAGGTTTGAGCAACGTGGAGAGGTGTGACCAAGGTCAGACTCTGAACTGATGGTAAAAACAGAACTGGGGTTGGTTCCCCAGCTTCATGTATAGCGCTCTCTCCACTAAGGTCTGTTGCTTCTCATTGTTAGTCTAGGGTTTTCTAGGAGGATGCTACAATCATTAAGGGAAGGCAGGCAAGATTGGCAGTGACACTGATATAGTACCTCAAACCTAAAGTTCAGAATTGTCAGTCTATGAATTTTGACTTTCAGGGATATATGCTCAGGCGTTGCTTAGGAACAACAAAAAAGCCCAAGTGGTCACTGCAAATAAGAGTAGCAGGTTTGACCTAATATATAAGATGTTGACTTTGTTTTTCTGATTTATCACAATTCTGACATGAGCCAATATTCACTAGTAATTTGGGTAGCAATGCCCTGACATTCCAGGTAGGAGAGTGCCTTGCATATTATGTTACTAAGGATATGTTTGATCATTTTTCAAATTTGATCACACATATTGCATTTTTTCATTATCTTTCCTTAAGTCTGAAAATAATTGTACAAATCATTGCATTATTGGTAAAGAAAACATCTCAATTGAGAGTAGAAATATTTAACCTAGAAAGAGAAAAAATCCAGCCGTTTAAATTTTCCCACTCTAAATATTGACAAATGCCACAAAGGCATGATATAAAATTATCATAGTAAATAATTTTTAAGTCAGGAAATCTCTGCTTCTAATCTCATAGTAAAAATCAGGGGCACATTCACAGAACAAATCCTAAAAGCTCTGAGTTTACAAAACAATTTTGGAAAAGTAAGTGAAAAATGAACTTAAACTTAGATGTGATTACCACAAGCCTGAAGAATAGAAATAAAGCGCAAATGTATTTGGGTAGGAATTAAGAGTTGAAAACTTTGTAAGAATAAAATCAGATAATGTAAATAAAAAGTGAGCAGAAAATTACTGCTTAAAGGATGAAATTTTCCAACTGCTTCCACTAAATTTAATAAAGTATCTGGCTTTCTTCTTCAATGAGCATAAATGTGAAGTTAGAATTATTCCCTGAATTTACTCTTCTGCTCTTTGACTTTTAAATTTACTCCAAATTTCTCTGTAGTTAGAAAATGGTTATTTCTACATGTTAACTCCTCAAACAATGGAACTTTCCTGTCTACAAAAAGTATTACGGATATATTTTCTTTACTTATCTCCTAATGTGAATATCTAAATAACTATCATCTCTATTTCATAGGCATACTTGTCCCTGTGATCATGAGTCTGGCTCCAAACAAATTTATAGCAAATCGTCCGTTTCTGTTTCTTATGAAGAATAACCCAACAGGTACCTTTACTGAGAATTCCTTGGGGGAACTGCTTAAATTAATGCAAAGCTGGTGTGAGCTGCTAATTGAAACCTACATATCTGAAATCATTTATTCTTTCAACCGATATTTGCTGGTGCCTACTTTGTACCAGGCATTAAATTTCAACAGATAACCCAAAAAACCAAACCAATTGCCATTGAGTCCATTCTGACTCATAGCAACCATATAGGACAGAACTGCCTCATGGAGTTTCCAAGGCTGTAATCTTTACGGAAGCAGACTGTCGCATCTTTCTCCCAAGGAGCAGCTGGTGGGTTCAAACTTCTGACCTTTTGGTTAGCAGATGAGCGCTTTAAGCACTATGCCACCAGGGCGCCTTCAAAAGATAAAACCTGTTGTCGTCAAGTGGACTCTGACTCATAGTGACCTTATAGGACAGAGTAGAACTGCCCCATCGTGTTTCAAAGGAGCAGCTGGTGGATTTGAAGTGCTGACATTTTGGTCTTAACCACTATGCCACCAGGGCTCCATCAAGAGATAAAAGGACCTAAAATAGGACGGTGGTAATAATACCAGCCACCATAGCTATTGTATATTTTAGTCATTTTATATACCTGTCTCTAAAGCTAACATCATCCCAATAGGTTAGTTAAATATTTGACTAATAGAGACATAGAAGCTCAGAGAGAGTATATGGGTTTGCCCGAGGTTGTACGACTAGAAAAAGGCAGAATGGGAATTGAATCCAACTTTGTCTCTGAAATCAACTCCTTTTTCTATGATGCCACAACAGGAGTGGAAATGGGGAGTTGCAGACAGAGTTGTCTAAGATTTTGGAGATAGGTTGAAGAAGACTTAATAAGTGACAGAATATTGGGTCTCGAGGGGGTGGGTCCAACATAATTTCCAATTTGGGCAATTAGTGAAAGATGATGTAGTTAGCTTCAAAACGGAATATAGAAGAAGCAGTGGCTTGAATTGGAACTTGATACAATGTCAACACATGCCAATCCAGATAATTTGGATAGATGCTTCAGCACTTTCTCTTGCAGAAATGAGGGACCAGAAATGTGGATATGGTAGAGAAGCTTTCTTTATGCCTATACTTAGGACCTCTTTATGTCTATACATAGGATCTCTTCAAGAGTCATAATGCCAGTTGAGAGTTATAAACCACAGGAGAGAAGAAATCATATCTTATGCATTTCTGTATCCAATCCAGTATTGGGCAAAGTGTCTTGCATATAATATCTATATCCCTAGAGACTTAGAGTATGGACTTGGTTGTCAGACCTGGGCTCAAGTCCCAGCTCAATTAACTCAATTAATAGTTTCGAGACAAGTTACCTATCCTTTCTAAGCCACGTTTCCCCCATCTCCTATTTGAACACAGTATTAGTACTCATCTAATAGAGTTAAATAAAATGATATATAAGCCTATAACACTGTGCCTAGTAAAGGTTTAATATTAATTAATCTATAAATACAAACGAGTAAATGACTAAATAAACAAAGGAAGGAAAACTCAAGTTTCCCTGTCCAACTGGTTTACACGGACAAGAGACACAGCTGAACTCAGAATCTGAATGTGTTAGATTAACTAAGGATACTGATATGATTCGCCTTCTGAAATACCAGACTCTATTTCTAGGCTACATGAAACTAATGCTGGGTGACTTTTCTACAAATTATATATTGGAAACAAGAGAAGAGTTTTAGAATTGCTGAGATTGCATTAATACAACTTCCATTTCTGTAGCGGACCTGTCAGTATTAAAATATATTCTGAGTATATTATTTGATCTATGCATCTTTAACCTTTGGGTATCTCTAATTTCTTACAATTAGTATATAGTTATTGAGTATGGAGAACAGAAAGAAATGAGGCTGCATTGGGCATCAAAGCACAAGAAAATAATGGCAGTTAGAATAATTATGTTTGACTCTACTTTTTAAGTTGATCACTTGTTATATAATAGCTATCAGTAAAACAGCAGTGAAAATTCAAAACCCAAAATAATCCACCTATTTATTTATATGTGATAATGCTTAACTATCAGACCTTAATAACAATTTCTACTGCTTTATACTGTTTATTATAATGAGAGTTGAAACTAGGGTGAATCCCTTAAAGTATTGTTTAAAATGAATGGCCACTCATTCATCAGGGGCTGTAAATTACTGCCATTATAAAATGTAGAGCAGGCTCTTATCTTAGGACAATACACATTCAGTGATTTATTTTTTTCTCTCACAAATTAATTTAAGAAATCATTGAGATTAACAGACATGGTGACTTAGCATAGCTACACTGGGCTATTAAATGCTCAATGCTTTGCATAAAATATATCCATTTGACAATTTCTAAAGTATGAGGATGAATGATTTTAGGTTTAGTACAACGAAGTTTTAATACAGATTTAAAATTTTCTTTTGACCAAAACAGTTCTATTGTGCAAAATCTATACATTGTTTGAATTTTCCTATCAGGGAAGTTTTATATTGCAGTATAATCATCTAAAGCTCTTATTAAGCCAAACTTCCAGGGCAGTGGAGAACTTTTTTCCTTCTTTTATGTTGAGAGTATAAGCCACCTTTATAAACTTTCAGAAGAAAATTGTGAAAGATGCTATATGAAATGCAGCATTTCTGAGAAAGCAGTTAATCATGATGTTGAAACTGACAGTACTGTACAGAAAGTAAAAAAAAAAAATATGTTTAGAATTCTTTGAGGTCTTGGACTTAGGGGAGAAACAAGAACTGCAGGATATTTATTAAGAAATCTTTTTTCTAGGCCATTAGCTTGGCTTATCCTATTGTATTTAAATGTTAGAAGGTGAAAGTTGTTTCCATTTGGCAGAAACTTCATCTAAATGTATGTGTTAAATATTAGGGATACCCTTTGTAAGAAGGGGGCTTGAAGAGAAAAATGATAACAATAATACTTTCTGCTTCAGCCTGCCTCTAACTCCATTGTTATTACGCCAAGGGAGATTTCAGTATCCTCTCAATTCAGTAGTGAGTAAATTGGTGACTATGTGAAGACTCAATCCAAAATGTGGTTCTCCTTGGTCAAGAAAAAGAGAAAAAGGGCTGGGACAAATGGCTTTTGCATAATGTCCTATACAATTCTAGATGTTTAAATTTCTAAATTATTGTATTCAACGATGAGGTTAGTTATCTATAAAAGTTACTTTAAAAATTTACCTAACAATTCCAATAAGCATTTTAATGCCCTAACATTATGAAGACACAAGAATCACTGCTCATTTCTATCATGACTAAGTATAATATTCAACTCTTATCTACCTTAAAAATAGCAGTATTTGTTTTTCTTTATCCCAGAATTATTTTGAGATCTTGAGGCAAGGCATTATTGGTTATAATTATTCATAAAAGAAAAAAAAATCTACTGGAGATTGTCTGTTTCTGTGTTATTGCCTCTTCTAAGACAGTGTCCATTTTTAAAACTGAACAATAAATAATTAATGAAAAGGGCTCTCCCACTGTTTTTTCAAATGCATTCAAATATAATTTTCATTAGCTTTAAAATTATGTAAAATTTATTATTTCACTTTTGAAATTAACCTTTATTTCCTCTGAGTATAAAGAATTTAATTCCAAGCAACACTTGACATTGATTCAGTCAAGCCACTTCCCTTATCTCAGTTGAAAAGAAAGGTCACTTACTTCTGTTTTGTCCTCTAGTGCTTGGTTCCTTTTCACTTGCAAACACAGAATGACTGGAAACAGGTGTTTGCGTTTATGCTATATATTATATCACCTCAGTGAGGATTTGAAAGCACTAACAGTATGAAAATATTGTCTTTAGCAGTAAGCTTTGATTCAGAGCTGAAGGAGGAGAGTTGGGAAGCTGTACTTTTAACCCTGCAGGCTTACATTGCATGCATAAAAGGATGACTGCTAATGCTTTAAATTTAAAACTCTGCCATGATCATCACCATATTATTGTGCTATGTTTATTACACTATGTTTGCCTGGCTGGGTCTCTATATTTAGAAGAACACCTCTCTGCCACTGTATTTTTGCTTTCCTGTATGAAAAACAGAACTAATGCATTTTCCATGAAGAGCTGTTGTAGATGTTAATTTACTTCATAAATTACCAGAAAATGATTAATAATAATATAATTATGCCTTTTAGACAAAGAAGAAGGTTTTGCTATTAGGTATTACCTATTTATCTTACAGAGAAAAAAAAAAGACTAACTGATTTGTTAAACTACTAAGAAAAACTAATTCTTGTCAGGTTTCTTTTCCTCCAGAATATCCTAAACTATGTTATTTTCTTCCTTTTTCTAGAATCAATTTTGTTTATGGGAAGAGTGACAAATCCTGACACACAGAAGACGAAAGGAAGAGATTTAGATTCTCTCTGAATGGAAACCACAGCCTCGTAATATAAGCTGATTCCTGGAAAATAGTGACTAGGCAGAATATATGAAAATATTTTCTATATCTCTTTTTCTTCCAGTTTTAAACAGTGTCTGTATTAATCTGTGTTAATATAGACCTGTATTAATGAATAAATAAAATTAGACAGTTATTTGTTTCTGTTCTTTGTGTATGCTTTATAAGCTCAAATAAATCAAAAGCAGTGAGCTTGTATATTACTATTAATATGTTAGAACAATCCTGTCTTAGATATCGAATTCCCTATATTCCTAAAGGACTCCTGAAAAGAACTTTTCAATCCTATTGTGAACTGTTATACATGCATACCTTCCCAAATTGATTTTATATTTTCTGAGCTTAAAAGACTGGACTATCAAACTTCTAGACACATGCATTATTAGGCTGAAAAAAAAATATGATTCGTATTCCACCAGAAACTCTAAAGAGACCACAGTGCTGTGTGGAAGTAGAAGTCTTTATTTCCCTAGCCGTACATTTTCTAGCATAGCGGTATTATCCAGACTATGAGGAAGTAAGGTTGAGAGAGAGCGGGCGTGGGGCACGCTTCTCCGAGCGTTACCTGACACACAGATCCAATGTCTCTGACAGGGGATGAGCTTTGAATAACTCTCTGATCTTACCTTAATGTTTGCCCTGCTTCAAAACCTTTTGGAATACATCAATGATTTGCTTCTGATTTCTGCTCTAAACATGTATAGAAAGTAGAAATGCTGCGGCTTTTATAAAGCTTTCCTATTTTTGGGTCAGCCAAGTTAGTAGCTGATTCAGGGACTCACCTTCCACAATTTCACAGCAGTGACTAAGGAAGTGTTAGAGGCAAGATTGTAATCTATAAAGCTTAAATGTGGACCCCTTCCTCTGAATACTCTGAAATACCAGATCCGAACATCCAAAAAAATACTACAATACAATAAGACTTGATGTAACATGTTTCACAGTCTTTCCATTTTCAGGCTAATGGCATAAAGTGTCTTTTTTGTTTGTTTGCTTGTGATGGCAAAGCTTGTCAGAGAGCTGAATGATAGTAGCTACCCACTGATGAGCCCAACAGGCAAAGTAAGGACTTTATCTACATTATCTCAGTTAAATGTATTAAAAATCCTATGAGATATCATCCTCATTCCTGATGAAGAAACTGAGACTCAAAGAAATTCTATAAATTAGTCAAGAACATATTACAAATAAATATGAATCCAAGTCTGTCTGAGCCAGAAACCTGTGAACTTAATCACTGAGTCATGCTTCCTTCTACATAAGTCTTTTAAAGTAATACAGATCTTCCCCTGAAACATTGTGTTGTCTCGTTTCCAAAGGGTTCCTAGGTGGCATGAATGGTTTGCGTTCGACTGCTAATCTAAAGGTTAGGGGTTCCACCCAGTGGTACCACAGAAGAGAAGTCCTGGTGATGTACTTTCCTTAAGATTACAGCCAAAAAAGCCTTATGGGGCAGTTTTACTGTATAACACATGGGATTGCCATGAGTTGGAATCTACTTGATGGCAACTAATAACAGTCTCTAAAGTCTAGGTACACATCCACAGCAAAATTTAGAGCAATACTCATGACACTATGAAGACAACTTTTAGAGTAATTGTGGTTGCTTAAAACCATAACACAATTGAGAGCAATGTACATTTTCCTATACTGTCAACGTGAGCTTACTTTTATGTTATTGTTGTCATTGTTAAGAGCCGTGGAGTCGGTTCCAATTAATAGCAACCCTGTGTACAACAGAACGAAACACTGCCTGGTCCTGTGCCATCTTCACAAGCGTTGCTATGTTTGAGCCCATTGTTGCAGCCACTGGGTCAACGTATCTCATCGAGAGACCCTCTTTTTCCCTGACCCACTACTTAGATATAACACAGTAAATGCTAATCTATATGTTAACGATATATCACCAATTGTGGCATAAATTTCTAGTTCTTCCTCACTGTGGCACTGGTTTAAAAATATGCTTCCTCAATTCAGGAAGAAGAGAATAATAAATTCAGTTAAGAGGACAGGAGTTTTGTTTGGGTCTGAACCAAAGTCCTGCTTTCCTTGTATTGCCTGACTTCTGATCCTCTTCCACGTGTCTAATGTCAGTCTGCTGTGACATTTCACAAATATTAATTGCATTTCCACTGTGTTTTTACACACTGTTTTAAGAACCTAAGATATACCTGTGACATACCAAGGACATGTCAGTAAAGAAAACTGACAAGACCTCTGCCATTATGGGGCAGAAATAAAATAAAGCAGTGAACAAATACAAAAACAAAATAATTTCCCCCACCCAGAAATGTAGTTACCAAGGCACTTCCACGATTAAAACCTTTATTCTTCACCTTTACTTGCAGTTAACTCAGGAGTTATTATATTATAATTCCATATCATAAAGGTTACAAGTGTCTGGAATATATTTATGAAAACATGTATCTATTTATGTAATAAGTATAAATAATTATATTTTCCAAGCTGTGTGAAATCTTCAGTATTCACAACAGTATTCATAATTATGTGGGTAAAAATATTGTCAAATTAAAACCCCTCATAAAAGTCTAAAACATCATATATCATATTTTTACTCAAATAACGTGTGCCTTCTAAGTTTGTTTACAATCTGAACTCTTCCTCTGCAAAGCATTTTCGTAAGCGCTAGGAGGGCCAGTTGGCAAACATAGAAAGCATCCATTATTTGTGTAAAACTATGATACATATCGCAGAAATGTCATTAAAGTAGTGGTATTTCTTTTGAAAACTTTGGAATTGGGTTTTATTGACTTTACATAGTTATAATTCATGGCATATTTTAGAAGAACCTACTGTATCAGACAGTGAGACCGAGGACGTCAAGATGTCTGAGATAATGAATTATTTCTTTTCTTTTTATTTTGGTGAGGTTTATAAATTTGTCAAGACTTGGATAACAAAGATCTGAAACTCTGAAAGATACCGATAAAAAATTTAGGCAGGTTTCATAAGAAGCCAGAGCTTTGGGCCTCCGGGAAAAAAGGTATTTTTTCACAGTATGGCCTCAGACCATTGAGACGTGCTCTACACGGGTCTGTTTATCTGAGAGTGGATCAGCAGAGATTGACCCTCATGCCTTCAGTGGAAAAGTGGGCCAATTTCAATTTGCTTGCTTGCCAGATAACTTTTTTTATTTCCTCTTCCTTCTTCTTTTTCTGCTTCTCATGTAATGATCTCAAAATCTGAGGTCTGAAATACAAGAGGTCAAAAATCCAGTTTCTTCCTCTTTTTAAAGCCTCTAGTGACCACCCTGACAGCATAATATAAGGGAAATAAAAGAAGAGATGTTTTTCACTGTCTCACAGTATAATTTTTGGCTGGTCACCTCAATTGTCTGGGGTTTTAATGTCCTCTGAAGGGTTGAACAAATCCTATTTAAAGTCTTTATTCCAAAGTCTTATATTTCTAAACCTTGGACTTCTCATCAAACACATGTCTTGATTGCGGGAGAATTTCTTTTTGAGTCATTATTGTTTATAAGCAATGTTCTTTTTACAAAAGAAAATAAATTCCAGAATGCACCTTTCACTCTGATCTTGGTTTATAAACATTATCCTTATTTATAGTTGTGTTTTTATAGGTTTGAAATTTAATTTTTAAAATCAGAATACCTATAAAAACAAAATTTTATTGTGGCAGAGACCTCTATCTGCCCAATAAATATTTTCGACTATGGTTTCTCTAGTGTAGTGCTGTTGCTGGACAGTGTCTGCCTAGTGAGAGACTTTATTTTACCAACCCTTGCATTTATCCAAATTAGTTCTCATGGAATTTGAGTGATTTGAATGTGTCATTGTAAACACAAATGAGCAGGAAACAGGTGCACCTCTCTAAATGCTTATTTCTTCCATACCAGCTTGATGCTAATTCTCCAGGTAAAACTGGAGGCCATATTTAGAAGATGACAGAGCCTCTGTGTTCCTCTATGACTGTGTGTCATAGTCTTTCTGTGACCTAGGTTAAAACCAACCAGGAATTCCTACTTGCATTGGACTCTGGTATGAACAAGAGTTATATATTTACTGAAATTTGAGAGAATGTTTGTGACAATAGCTAGTGTTAATCTGGTACATTTAATGAGGTGCTTCTGTAATAAAAATCCAAAATTTATTGCATAATTTGAACTTGGACAAAAAGAAAAAACAGGCATAAAAGCCTGAAAGACAAGAAAGTTTTGTTAAGCTGTGGAAAATATTCAGTAAAACTGTTGCTTGTGAAAATTTGGAAAGTAGAGCACATGCCTACTGATTCAGTGTCCAGCCAGAGACTTAATGTCTTCTCTGAACTTGGTAGAAAACTGTCTTATCAGGGTTCTCTAGAGAAACAGAACCAATTATGTATATATATATATATATATATATATATATATATATGTATATATGTGTATATATATATGTATATATGTATATATATGTATATATGTGTATATATATACGTATATATGTATATATACGTATATATATACACCCACTGCTCACTTAGTGACATCGTTAGGTTCCAAAGACCAGGTCATTATGCAAAAATCAGCATTATGTGAAAATAGAGGATGACTATATTAGATTCTAAAATGGAGAATGACTACATCATTACATAACTGCCAAACCACTAAGAATCATAGCCTCATCAAGTTGATGCATAACCTTAACCATCACAGCCAGTGTTACTCTTGCCTTGCATCTCAGTGCTCATTACTGCCTGATGTACATTGTTAATACACAAAATAGTTGAATAGTAGATTTTTTACTATTGTCATAAATGTGAAATGTTTGATAATGAGATAGTCAATAAGTGAGGAGTATTTGTATATATATAAATAAAGACAGAGAGAGACATCGATCTGCCAAAATATCTCTTTATCGTGTGAAGCAGTCAACACATTCAGGAAACTCCCCTTTCAACTGATTGATTGATTACATTAGATTACATTATGGAAGATGATTACATTACATTGTAATAGATTACATTACAGAACAGCAACTAGTCTAGTCTTTGACCAAAATCATTGGAAATTGTAGCATAGCCAAGTTGACATGTAAAATTAACTATCACAACTACTTAACCAGTTCTTACCAAAGGAATATGAGCAGAAATGATATGTGTTTGGCTGAGGTGCTTTGGAAATA